AGGACTTTACATCTGTGCTTGTGAGAAATATCCACCTATAAGTTCCCTTTTTTAAAAAAAATTTTTTGAAAGGCAGAGGTACGGGGGAGGGGTGAGAGGGGAGAGGGAGGGAGAGAGGGAGGTCGGCCGGTCTTCATCTGCTGGTTCACTCCCCAGATGGCCACAATGGCCAGAGCTGTGCCAATCCAAAGCCAGGAGCCAGGAGCTTCTTCCAGGTCTCCCACATGAGTGCAGGGGCCCAAGGACTTGGGCCATCTTCTACTGCTTTCCCAAGCCATGGCAGAGAGCTGGACTGGAAGAGGTGCAGTAGGGACTCAAACCAGCACCCACATGGGATACCGACAGCTTTACCCACTAAACCACAGAGCAGGCCCCCCACCTGTAAGTTCTTTCTCGTCTTTGTCAGGTTTGGGATCAGCTTATGCTGTCCCAGGAGATGTTCCAGATAAATGTTCAATTGCGATTCCATAAACATCAATCTTTTTGACTGTGATTTCTACAAACAGTAATTATGAAAGTAATAACAGAATGTTCAATTCTACTGAGCTAAGTGTAGAGGCCTGCGGTTCTCCATTTGATTCCAGATTGATAGAGTTCTGTGTTTGGTTGTTTGACCGGCCAGGAAATCACCCAGCGGAATTCCTTACCAACCCCTGGCTTCTCTTTGCCCATAAGAATGTCCTCGGCCAACATAAAACGCTTTGCCTCCCACATAGAGAGAACCACCCTCCACCAGGGAAGAGCGAGGTCACCGTGGCAGCATTTGTCCCTGAAGCTGCACTGACCCCGGTGCACTTTCTTTTTTAAGTGGACTAAGGTGTTATTGTACAGGGGCTTCGCCACGCGTGCAGTCACACGAGGGTCCTCCAGAGACCGTCCTCTCGGCCGTGTTCTGAATGGACAGGCAAGGGGGAAGGGGGGAGAGGAAAGAGCTCAAGAGGAGAAGGAGCTCCTGGAGAGGGGATGGCCTGGTCGAGGCGCCGACAGGGTCACCGTGTTCCTGGGACCGCTCTGAATGCTTGACATACATGAGCTCAGTGAATCATCTCACTCATTGAAAAATTCTAGGAGTCACGCTCGACTGCGGGCTCCCGCCGACCCCACACCCAGTGATCTGGAAATCCAAGACTCTGCCTCCCAAAGCATCCCAGGTCTGACCCCTTGCTGGGCTGCCACCGTCCTCTCCCTCATAATGGTTCTCCCTGCCTCCATCCTGGCTCCCCCAGTCTCTTCTTAACACCAAAGCAGAGTGATTGCCTAAAACAGAAGTCAGCTGGAGTCACACTTCCACTCCAACCCTAGTACAGATATTTAGAGCGTCCCACGCCAGAATGCCTGAGTTCAAGTCCTAGCGCCACCTCCAAGTCCAGGGCCCTCTACTGTGCATGTGGGGCAGCAGGCGATGGCCCGAGTCCCTGGGTCCCTGCTATGCATGCGGGCGTCTGGACAGAGCTCCTGGCTCCTGGTTTCAGCCCCAGCTTTGGGGAGTGAACCAGCGGCTTCTCATGTCCAAACACAAGCAAACGATTCCGCCATGGCTTCCCCTCACTCGGAGCCGCAGTCCGACCAGGCCCCGGAGGGCCTCCACCCGCTCCTCTCCTGACTTCCCCGACCTCCCTCCGCACTCCCCTCCAGCCCCATGCGGTAACGGTCCCCCTGCCTGGGGCTTGACTCTCCCTCCCAGCTCCTCCGAGGCTTTGCTCAAACTCACCGATGCTGACTGCCGCTCCCCTAGCGCACCGTGCCGCACCCGCTCTCCCGTACAGCTGACGTCTGCCTTTTCCTACCAGGCGGCGGGCTCTGTGTGCCTCACGGCCTGAACCCCGGCTCCGAGTCAGGGCCAGCACTTGCCATGCCTGCGACAAGCACTCTGAGGGAAGCCTCACGGCCACCCTGAGAGGCACCTCTATCTCCACTGTCAGAGGCGGAGCCTGAGGCCAGGGAGGGGAGTTCTAAAGGTCACACAAAGCCCCAAGACTTGAACCAGGGGTATGGCTCTGGGGACAGTGCTCCTCCTACCTCACTGTCCTGCAAAGCCCAGGGTAGGAAACGAAAGACAGCCCGTGCCACACGGGCCCTCGCCTGTGTCTCAAGCACTGGGGTGTAAGAGCTCCTTCAGGCTGCAGGCTTCGCGCTGCACTCAGAAGGGGGCGGGGCCTGGCCATCTGGACAAGTCAGGGGGTCTGTAAGGAAAACCCACGGGACAGGGTGCAGCTGTGCTCTCGGAGGAACCAGCGCCCACGGCTGGGGAAAGCAGCGGTGCGGGAGGCTGCGGGCAGGGCAGTCAGGAGGGGCCGAGCCCATGGGGCCCTCAGCCAGGTCGACGGCTGGCGATGCACAGGCTGACTGATGAGAGGTCAGCGCCGCGGCTGGGCGCAGGATTTCAGCTGAGGCAAAGGACAGCCGCCAGGCGGGGTCTGGGGTAGAACAGGTTCCTCAAACTTCTCTGGCTGATCTACAGTGAGAACCACACTTTTGGTCTGGACACAGAACATGCTGACGTGCAGGCATGCGCGCGCACACACACACACACACGCACAACCCCATCTAGAACAAGTTCAACAACAAAACACCCTTGCTTCGTGGAACGCCCTCTGCATTTTCTATCCTAGTTCTTGTTCTCGCTCTACTGAACGCTGGTTGCCACTCACTGCATTGATTTTGCGCTAGTTTCAGCTCGCAGTGTGCAAACTCCTGGCCAGAGAGGTGCGGGAGGTGCGGGAGGCGCGTCTGTGGCACAGGACTGGGCTGGGGAGCCCTGCTGCCCTGCTCCCAGCCCAGAGCCCCCTCCCGCCCAACACGCCCAGATCTATCAGAGTCGGGCCTCACTGCTTTGGCAAAACTCCCCTGCGCGAAGGCATTGCTGCATAACTCTCACCAAGAAACGTGCGGGGACGGGGCTCTTCTGACACCCAGAAGGGAAGACGTTACTCTAACCGACGCCCTTGAAGTTTGCCACCAAAAAACAGCAAATTCCAGGGACACTTCTAGGAGGACGGGAGAGGGGTCTGTGGCTGGGGAGGGGGGTACGGGGCCACGCTGACACAACGCATGGAGGGCAGGCCTCATCCCTAAGGTGCGAGGCACAGCACGGTGTGAACAGAGTCCCTGGGTCTTAAGGAGAGATGCAGAACCCAGCCAGTCTTGCCTCTCCCCTGCCACTTCCTCCTCCTCCTCAGAACCCCACAGACCACCACCCCACTTTCCTGCCGCTGAAACGCTCGGCAGCAAGGCGCAGGGCTGGGCTTTGCTGCCCGATAAAGCCGCACAAAGTGTGATTTTCTCCTTTGACTCTGGAACCTAAACAAACGGATTATGTTCCAAAAATTCCATAAAACCATAATTTAGTGGCCATGGCACTCCTAAATAATTTCATTCTAAATATAGAGAGGTATTCCTCGGCAGAAAAATCTCCCAGCAGCTTGATTCTAATATATAATTAAATCCTCCCCAGACACTTCGCAGTTATGTTTTATGGCTTATTTTGAGTGTTCATATTTTATCAGAAAATTATAATTTTCCTCTAAATAGGAGTTTTTACAAGGCTTTTGAATTATGATGGCTGGCTTCATGTTTCAACTATAATTAAAACCGTGAAAAGAAATAGCGCAACCGCACAGCCCACGTGACTCCCACATGCTCGCTCTCCGGGTCTCGGCTCCCCTCGCCCTGCAGCCCTGGCGCCAGGGCCCGTTTCTGACCACTCGGGAGAGCTGGCAGAGCGGGGAACAGACGGCCCGGGAAGAAGCGAGGCGGCAGCTGTGGACATCTTTGCACGGCCCAGGCTCAGCTCCAGCGCCTGCGGACCACTCCCCCCCCCCCCCCGCCCCGTCCCCTCCAGGACACTCACCTTCCCACCAGCCGAAAGGGCATCTGTGCGTCCCCAGGCCGACTCCACCTCCTCCAGGCTGTCAACCCCACGAGGGCCACAGCAGTCTGAACCGTGACCGGAGGGCTCAGAGCAGCTGCACAGGCCACGGACGGGGCCTGCAACCAGAGAAGTTCTCTCAGTGCGGGAGGCGGGCCGCCCAGGTCCGGGTGTCGGCAGGGCTGCCACGCGAGGCTTCTCCCCTGCAGACAGCTGGCTTCTCCAGGGGCCTTCATGCCGTCTTTGCTCAGTGCAGGGCTGTGTTCCAATCTCCACTTCTTCTTTTTTTTTAAAAAAAGAAAGATTTAAGTTTTTGAAACGCAGAGTTACAGAGAGAGAAGGAGAAACAGAGAGGGGGAGAGAGATCGACCTTCCATCCCCTCGGTTCACTCCCCAAACGGCCAGGAGCGTCAGCGGGGTCTCCCAGGTGGGCGGCAGGAACTCAAGCACCTGAAGCATCTCCCACTGCTTCCCCAGGCCATGAGCGGGCAGCTGGAGCAGAAGTGGGGCAGCCGGGGCTTGAACCGGCGCCCATACGGGATGCTGGTGTCGCAGGTGGTGGCCTAACCCACTATGCCACACGCTGGCCCCCTCCTCTCTCCTTACAGGATACCAGCTGTGTTAGACTAAGGCCCACCTGGACGACATCCCTGATCCTTTATTCCTGTTAACAGCCCTGCCCCCAAGCACGGTCCCAGAGGCTCCGGAGTCAGGACTTCAACACGTGATGCACACTTCAGCCCATAACACACAAACCTGTGCTGGCTGAGAAAGGAACACTGCCACAGGTGTCCTGGAAGCAACTGTCCCGGTTCTCACAGATCCCCTACCCACTCCCCACACACCAAGGGCCCAGACACCCGCGCCTGTTGGCTCCGGGCCCGCCCTCACCAATCCAGCCAGCCAAAGCCCTGCCGCAGCGTTCAGACGTGACCCTCTGAACCGGGGACGCGACCCTCGGTGAGGGACTGCAGGGCAGAGGCCCCTGCGCTGTTCCCGTGACGCCGGCCACACGGTGACAGGGGGCAGGGCCTGCGGAGCCCACCCATCTGCCGCCCCGGGCCTCAGCCGCCCTGTAGATCAGAGGTGGGTCTTGTCCGCTGTGCCCTAACCCTGTGTTTGCTACCCACAGGCCTCCGGGCTGGAGCCCAAGCTGGTGGCTGACAGCGCTCTGTTCTTGCGGGACAAGCGGTGGGAAGAGGTCAGGGGTGTGCTGACTGCGGCTCTCCACCCCGAGAGGCTGAACGAGGTAAGACACAGAGACCGCTCTCTCCAGGCCGCTCTGTTGCTCTCCACAGCCAGATTCACTTGCCCTAGGTGCACCGCTTCCCCGGGCGGCAATCCGCCAGGCCTTCAAACCTCTCCCGCACGTCCAGGCTCCCCGAGCCGACAGGGGCTGCAGGGGCGCTGCCACGCTGCCCTGTGCCGCGGACCCTCTGCGGTCCTGTTGAAACGCGCTTCTGATCCGGGCACTGGGGGAGGGGGGCCTGCGAGTCTGGGCTTCTAATGCCTCCCCGGTGGAGGCGCCCTCTCTGTGCGGCGAGCCTCACTTCTCATGGCGGGGAGCTGAGAACAGACGATGGCACCTGGCTCGCACCCCTAGAAATCCTGGCGAGTCTGGGGGAAGCGCCGGTCGGTCGTGGATTATTGTGGAGGAGAGGGGCGGGTCTTGCCCATGTCTAGGCCTAGGCCGGCCCAGGTGAGTGGCCAGCTCTTCCCGGCCTGGGCCCCCTCCCTTCCTGCCCCAGTGGCCCAGTCTTGACCCCTTTCAGCCTCCTCCCAAGTGGCTGCTTGTGCCCCCCCCACAACGGGCTGTGCCTCGCACACCTGAATGCTGCAAACCCGAGCAGCCTCTTTTTTTTTTTTTTGACAGGCAGAGTTAGACAGTGAGAGAGAGAGAGACAGAGAGAAAGGTCTTCCTTCTGTTGGTTCACCCCCCAAATGGCCGCTATGGCCGGAGCTGCGCTGATCTGAAGCCAGGAGCCAGGTGCTTCTCCTGGTCTCCCATGGGGTGCAGGGCCCAAGCACTTGGGCCATCCTCCACTGCACTCCCGGGCCACAGCAGAGAGCTGGCCTGGAAGAGGAGCAACCGGGACAGAATCCGGCGCCCCAACCGGGACTAGAACCCCTAGAACCCGGGGAGCAGCCTTCTAAGGGGTTGCTCTAAGGGGAGTCTCCAAAGCCTGGCCCCAGGACGCTGGGCTCCGCAGGCCCGGGTAGTGAAGGCAAGCCGCTCCGAGCTCACCACAGGGCGCTCCCGCGAGCGGGTAAGTCCTCGAGGGGCTCCCTCGGGAGCCTCTCCGTGCCCCCACGGCCCAGCCTGCGTGTGCAGCGCGAGCTCCCCTCACGGGCCGGCCGGGCGCCCGCGGAGCCGTCCTGCCTGGTCACAGGCTGACTTCGCCGCGAGCACCCCCATTCTACAGACGAGGAGACTGAGGCACACAGGCTGGGCGCCAGGTTCGAATCCTGCACACGTCTCCATGGGGCGGCTTCTCCCCTCACCGGCGGCCGCCCCGGGGCCCTGAGGTAAGGGAGCGGCGCTCGCGGGGCCTCCGCGGAAGCCGACGGGGTCGGAAGCAACTGCCCTACCTTGGCCGAGGTGTGGAGCCAAACGCGAGTTGGTCACCGGGCTGGCGGCCGTGGCTGCCTCGCGGCCCTCCGCCCGGGACGCTCGCGCATGCTCCGTTCTCTCCCCGCCCCTCAGCCGGGAGACAGAGCACACCTGCCGGGCCCCGCTGCGGGGCCCACACCTGCGGCTGCCGGCCCGCACCGGGGAGTCCCGACTCCGCTGCTTGGTTTGGGGCGCAGCCTGGGTCGGAGGCGCTGAGGGCTCCCCGCGAAGGAGCAGGAGGAGGGGCGCACCCGCACCTGCCGGGAGGCTCAGCCTGGGGGTCAAGCTGCCTCCTGCGTGCGGGGGCCCAGAGCAGAGTCCCCGCTGCGCGGCTTCCGGTCCAGCTCCGGCTGATGCCCCCGGGAAGGGGAAGGCCGTGGAAGAAGGCCGAGTACCCGGGCCTGGGCTCCTGCTCCAGGATGGAGCTGCTGGCTCCTGCTTGGGTCTGGCCCAGCCCTGGCTGTTGCGGCCATTTGGGGAGTGAACCAGCCCACGGAAGATCTCTCTCCGTCACTCTGCCTTTCAAGTAAATAGAATAAATCTTAAAAAAAGAAAAATGAGAAAGGAGGAAAGTTTTATTTAACTCGTTAACTGCTTTGTCAAAATAAAGTAAAATGATGTATCAAACTGTTGGCTTTTAGAGTAACAAGAGTATCCTCGAAAAACAGAAAAAGTAGGTACCGAAGACACAGAGACTGAGACATGGAGACAGCTCAGAAATTCGGAGCCGCAGTGCTCGGCTGCATGTCCCTGAGTCGGTTTTCCAAGAAATAGCTTTGAACCATCCAACTCCCCGTCCTTTCTGAATTCCCAAGTAGCTTCCGGACTTCTGTTATCAGACTGCAGAGTTGATTCTTGCAATGAAGGCTTGTTTTCCTTTGGAATTCTGAGGTTTTTCCTTTTAACCGTGGCAGCTCCAGTCTTTGTCTACCTGTGTCTTAAACATCACTAATATTCAACAGCTGTCCCTGGCACTGCTTTTCTTTAGGTGGATATTTATCCACTTTTTATGTATATGGCTATTAGGCTGCCGCAGTCAACAATGCTTGAAACTCGCTTTAGAATCTGCATTGCAGGAGCAGGTGTTTAGCCAGGAGTTAAGACCCTGCATGCTGGTCTCAGTTTCCAGCCGGGCTCCTGACTCCTGCCAGCGCAGACCCTGGGAAGCCACAGTGTTGGGTTCCTGCCACCCACATGACAGATCTGGGTTGAGTTCCCAGTTCCCACATCCTGGCTTTGGCCTCAGCCCAGCCCACTGCAGGCATTTGGGGGGTAAACTAGCAGATGGGAACTCTCTCTCTGTCTCCCTCTCTCTCCCCCTCCCTAATGAATTCGTATATAAATGTTAAATTAGTATTGTATCATGAAGTCGATGTTTCTTTACAATAAAATTTATGTGGGGCTGAAGTCTCACCACAGACACACGTCACCGTTGAAAGCCAGTGCCTGATTGTCACAGCCCCAGTTCAGGAGGAAGGGACCATCAGAATCATCATCCATGACAGGAAAGTTTCGGGCTTTATTTTAATAATTCCCGAGCATTTCTAAGAAAACAACTGGTTGGGGCCAGCACGGTGCCACAGCGGGTGAAGCCGCCACCTTCAGTGCCAGCATCCCACGTGAGCACCAGCTGAAGTCCTGGCTGTTCCACTTCCCGTCCAGCTCCCTGCTAATACCCCTGGAAAAGCAGAAGATGGCCCAAGTGCTTGGGCCCCTGCCACCGACTTGGGAGACCAGGATGGAGTTCTAGTCCTGGCCTAGACCTGGCCATTGCAGCCATCTGGGGAGTGAACCAGTGGATAGAAGATCTCTCTTTCTCTCCCTCTCTCTTCCTCCTCCTCCTCCTCCTCCTCTCTCTGTAACTCTGCCTTTCAAATAAATATATCTAAAAAATCTGATATTTTTTGTTAGGGAAAAAGTTTTTCAATATTTAAATTTACATAAGGTAAAGAAATTTCATGAATTTTACACAGATTTAGGAGCACGGTGTTACTTCCCACCCGGCTCTCCCTCTCACCCACGCTCCCCCCACCTCCTTTCTTATTTTTCATTTAATTTTTATAACGACATACTTTCAGTTTATTTTATAATCATAAACTTAGCCCTCCACTAAGTAAAGAATTCAACAAGTAGTAAGAAGAAAAAACACTGTTTCTTAACAGTAGACACAAGGGCTGTCAATAAAAATCAAATAATAAATAATGATGATAAATAATAATCAAATCTCAAAATGTCGATTTTGCTCACATACATTATTTATTTATTTATTTTTTGACAGGCAGAGTGGACAGTGAGAGAGAGAGACAGAGAGAAAGGTCTTCCTTTGCCGTTGATTCACCCTCCAATGGCCGCTGCGGCCAGCACACCGCGCTGATCCGATGGCAGGAGCCAGGTGCTTCTCCTGGTCTCCCATGGGGCGCAGGGCCCAAGACTTGAGCCATCCTCCACTGCCTTCCCGGGCCACAGCAGAGAGCTGGCCTGGAAGAGGGGCAACCGGGACAGAATCCGGTGCCCCAACCGGGACTAGAACCCGGTGTGCTGGCGCCGCAATGTAGAGGATTGGCCTAGTGAGCCGCGGCGCCGGTCACATTATGTTTTTTTAAGCTGCCACTCCATTCCCCCAAAGGATTCCTATTTTTAAAGGGGCAACCAGGAAATTTAGATTTTTATAGTCTTGTGCTAGGTCCTTTACCCAAGACCATGAGTGAGTAACCCCATGGTTGTGTACAAGTTTACTGTAGATCGGGGAGTAAATATATTTAACTTCGGGACACACTTGTGATGCTAAATTAGTACTTCTCTGAGGGAAAATATAAATGATGGAATCCCCTGGGGGCCCAATTAGCCCTGGTTTTATTTTTACATTTTATAACTCATCTGAAGGAGAGAGTACACAGTGAAATCTATACATTCGTGGGTTCCTCTAAGCTCTTCTGGGTTGACAAATATTAAACCAATAGGAATGAACTTCCTGAGACTCCTCTAGGATCGTGTAAGTCAGCACAGAACTGGCAGGTGGCTTTCTGTGCGAGCAAGAATGAGAGCACACTGAGGAGAAGAGGCATCCGAAGTGTGCTCGGGATGATGCACCTCAGGCCATGGATTACCTCCAAGGAAAAGGACTTGACAATGACCGACAGGCCCCCAGGGTCAAGTGCATCTGGTGAAATACTGAAACCATCTTCTCGGGGAGTTAGCATACCGCAGGCTTGGGCCAGGCTGCCGTAAATAAATCCACTGACCTTTTAAATTCTGGGCTCAAAACCATCCTCAAAAGGTGAAAACAAGAGTAGCTAAAGGGCCCTTGGGAGAAACGGGGCCACAGGACCTAAGCCTTTGCGGGTGACTTCTGGGGGGACCCCCATCTCCCAGAGTCTGGAGCAGAAGGCAAGCTCCAGTTTGGGTGGACCAATATGGCAGCTCATATATCCCCCGTCCCCCAGGCCCAGGATGAGTGATGGGCATGTCCCCGCTCAGTCACATAACTGAGAGCTGATGGTGGAGACCAGGCAGCTCCAAGGGAGCACGGGAGGACATCATTGTCACCCCGTGCAGAGAAAACCAGACCAGTGGGGGAGGCTGGCGGGGAGCAGGCGCTGAGCGCGGCTCTCCGCCCAGTGCTCCACTTTGCACTCGGG